AGAAAGGTTGGGGGGTCCATCCATCTTCAGCTGCACGTTTGCCTACCGTGTCTAGGAAACCCCCTTTAAAGCATATTTCCTGATTTTTTACAGTTCCATGACCTAGGATATTGATTTTTTTCCAAAATATACCTTTCTTGACGAAAAAGCTTCAAGGTATCTGTGAAAGATGTACAGTGTTAGACTTACTTTACATATTAGTATAGTGTTGTATTCGTACAGTACTAATGTGTAAACACGGCAATACTTTATTTCAGAATAAATTCTCAAGTGCCAGTGTGAGACTGCCCTGCTCTTCAGTCGCTCACCCATTGCCTTGTGTTAAAGACTCACCGTCCAGAAAATTAAGAATAAAAATACCCGCAGACACCCATAACACACTTTGCAGGAGTCAGATGAAGCGTTGTGGTGTTGCTCATCCTGTAATAAAAATCAGACATATAATTGGTCCAAATACTTGCAAATACCGTGTGCTTGGGACTATCAGCATGGGAAATCAGAGCAAAGAGAACTCAAACCTGGGAGCCGTTGGGAGAAAGCAGACAAGGCCTTATCCTCAAAGCTACACCCTTCCTAGCAGCCGACTCCATTAGTCAGTTTGCGGGTCCTCTAACATGAAAAGAGTGATTCTGAATTTGCTGATGTGCCGCGTCTCCTGGCATATTTTTTAACCTATTTTTAAAACATTTTATGGTCAGAGAGAGATGACATTTCCCATCTCCATAGATGTGCCCTTATAAAAGAGAAAAATTTCCACGGCAAATGCACACTGTGCTTAATCCTAAATTAAAGTCGTTGCCCAAATGTTATCCCTTAACCCTGAGGCATGGGCAATTTCTAAAGAAACAAACTCGGCGTTTAATTAACTCTGAAGTCCCCTGTAAATGGAGCTTATGTATGTGTGTGTGGTGTGTGTGTAAAATCCAAGGCAGGATGAATTTAGAGAAGAAAACTGCTTGGAGGGGTTGCCTCCTACAGAAGCCAGTTGGCCCTATCTGAGTCAGACAGACTCCACACACAGCTACGCGGACTAAATTAAGGACTGGGGAGGTTCATCCAGAGTGCACAGATTAAAATTTTCAATAGACCTAAAAATGTCTCCAAGGCATGAATGAGCCCGTCACTTCTCCTCTGCCTCTTCAGCAAATGATGGATTCATTCGGTGCCCATAACACACCCTATGAGCTATGCCTGGCTTGCTCCGTGACTCTTCCCTCTCCAGTCATGCTGAAGCAGAGGTTGTGGTTAAACAAATGTGCTTTTATGGAGCACAGTGCTGTGAAACAGAGCTGATTAGGGCCTGACACATCGAATTAGATGGGGGCATGAAATTGGCCAATGACTCTATTGTTTCTGTAAAAGGTTCTGCCTCACCACCCTCCCAACTCTGGGAGGAACTGATTTGTTTCACTGTAATTCGGGGACTTTGGCTAGAATTCAAAAAATATTAGCACAACCTTAAAAAAATCTATTTTGAGATTTATCGAGCCATGTGCTTATTCTCAACTAGTTAGACCGTGAACTAGCAAATGGCCTAACCCACATGAGAACTTACTGTTAAAGAAATAGTTTCTAAAATAACAAGGAAAATAACTAAGATAAATAAAAATAATTATACATCAATTTTTATTTGTTAAACTTAATAAAACAGCTATAACTATTCTTTAATATATGACTGACTCATTATTATCACCTAATCTACAAAACCTTTCTAGAAGTGTATGGGACTCATATTAGAATCATTAAGACTCTTATGCTCAGATATCATGTATGTATACATACATCTACACGCATGTTATATATGCATATTGGATTGTATGACTGGATATTTACAACACGCAAACAAATGAAGACCTTTATCAGGAATTTACTCAAGTGTTCTGTGCGATTGTTCCAAAGAAAGTGTCTTTGCTTTAACTACTTTCCAGGCAAATAACATTTTACTCTTGTCTTTCAACTCCAGAGGACATGGAAAAGGGCCTCTCATTTTAACTTTCAATCCTGAAATCAATAGCGTTTCGCCTGGCTTATGTGCTTGAAATAATAGTTGACTAGAGAGGGAAAAAGTAAGAGAAAGGAAAACTGGAAGTACGGCATTTTAGGTAATCAAATTGTTGCCCCTAGCTCCTTTTTTAAAAACTTCAGCTCATCTCACTGAAGCTGAGCTGTTAGAAGGGAGTGAACCGCATGAAAGCTCAAAGGCTGTGAAGGAATCATCACGGGAGCGCAGAAGGAATCACGGGAGCGCAGTGTTCGCTGAGCAGCGGTCCACAGCTTTGCTCATAGAGAACTGGTAAGCAAGGTCCGGGCTGTGTGAGGGGCACGTGCACTGAGAGACTGTGGTGACTACTCCGGCTCTTAGTTCTGTCTTCTGAGCTCTTAGGAGGGGTAGCAGAGGTGTTTAATCTTTGATGGTTCAGTAACGAAACGATTAAAAGTGACATGTAAAACAGTTGTTCATGAATTTCTCATTTTCCCTTGGTGTCTTTTGCTCATTTAAAGTCTAGGTTATTTTTCAGAAGACTCGGAGATTGTTCCAGAATTCTAAATTTTGATGAATGATTTTTTTAAAAAATTGTCTCGTGCTTCATTTGGAGAGACTTTGAACTGATATCTTGGTACAAAGCCGTCTTGTGGTTGCTGTGAATTTAAGCTGTGGTACAGAGCAAGGTTCTCTTTTTACTGCATGCATATTGTAGATAATATGTGAGTGTGGTGGCTGGAGTTCCTCTCATGTCTGACTACATATGGAAGAGAACGCTTTCCTCATGAGGCCGCCCGCAACCACTACATGGTGGACGGGGTGTGGGGAATAAGAGTCCATAACTTTTAATCTGTCTGCTGCTTTTGCTCCTACATTGGTAGTGGAATTTTGTGGTGAAGAATTTCAGGGATTCGCATTAGTCAGAGCCAAAAGAAGGCACTGCCAATGTTGAGTCACAAGAGGCACCAAGGATCATCATTCTTGCTGGGCTCTTGCTCTGATACTTGTGACAACTGCTGTTAGTATTCAGGCATCTGTACAGGCCTGTCCTCGGGGTACTGACAGGATTCGCCCTCAGCTGCAGCTACTAAGGGTACCGACTGTGCACAGTCACTAAGTTCCCTTTTAAAAGGGCCCCGCCCAACTTCTATCCTCCTCCTCCTCCTCCTCCTCCTTCTCTCTCTCTCTCTGTCTCTCTCTCTCTCTCTGTCTCTCTCTCTCTGTCTCTCTCTCTCTCTGTCTCTGTCTCCCCCTCTCTCTGTCTCTCTGTCTCTCTCTCTCTCTCTCCCCCCCCCTCTCTCTCTCTGTCTCTCTCTCCCCCTCTCTCTGTCTCTGTCTCTCTCTCTCTGTCTCTCTCTCCCCCCTCTCTCTCTGTCTCTCTCTCTGTCTCTGTCTCTCTGTCTCTGTCTCTGTCTCTGTCTCTGTCTCTCTCTCTCTCTCTCTCTCTCTCTCTCTCTCTCTCTCTCTCGCTCGCTCGCTCGCACTCTCTCTGCCTCATTCCTCTCTCCTGCCGCTTCTATCCATGGAGTCCAATCTCCCCGCCTCCCCTTTCCCTTTGTACAATCCTTTTCCCTTAATAAAAAAAAAAAGAAATCTCCACTTGAACTCTCTTGCCTGGTGTCCTTCTCTCTCTAGCTGATTTTTTTTAATTGCAACTGTACCATCTGTTCTCCTCAGACTTGTCTGACGTGAGACACAAGACTTTTCTCTATTGCGGTATATGGTATATTATTCGGTAACATTTGACGGCTGCTCTACACTTGGACTTTCAAGTGCCTAACCATGCACACATGCATACATGCCTCTGGTCTAAAAATTCAATGAGAGGTAACAGTGGATAACAAGAAACAACAATTAGTATGAGCTGAGTTACAACTGTATTCTTAAATCATAGGGGAGTGTCCTTTTTAATTAAATACTGAGATTTAGCTGGGGTTACTTTCAACCAACTTTCATTAAAAAAATATTATCTTCTTCCAATACATTTTCAGCAAGCAAAATAAAGAGAATCACTGTCCTATACTGAGGAAAAATTTCAAATCCATGCAATACATGAATATTGAAATACAGAAGTGTTTTCTCTTTGACCTATCTAAAACGAAGCAATAGAAAAAAAAACACTCAATATAAATCTACCAAAAAGTGCTATGACCTGGGAAAACCCACAAGGCTTCGACCCTACACAAAGAACTACAGGCAACAAAGGAATGTTGAGAGCTGAAGAAATAATCTTCTCTAGGGAAAAGCATAGCAACTGGCTACCCAATAACAAAAGATCACTCCTGGAAACATACATAACAGTCACCTAGAGGATCACAATGAGAAAGAGTTTAACCTCAAAAATAATATGTATTATTATAATATTTCATAATTATTTTCTCCTACCCCTTTAATGTTTCATAGTCAATAAGTGCAAAATAGATCAGCTTATCATATAAATGTCATAGTGTTAGATTCCCTTAGAGTGGGGTGTAATTGTAACATTTAATGACTGTTAAAGTAAAATGAGTTCAGTTAAAGATGAATATTTATCATAGTTAAAATTTAATTACTCATATGTTTCAAAATAATATATGTGAGCTAGGCATTGGTGGCACACTCCTTTAATCCCAGCATTCGGGAGGCAGAGGCAGGCAGATCTCTATGAGTTCGTGGACAGCCTGATCTACAGAGCGAGTTCCAGGACAGCCTCCAAAACAATACAGAGAAACCCTGTCTCGAAAAAACAATAAGAATTAATATATATGTATGTTGAAACAATGTTATGAATTAGGAAGAGCATTCAATTACATAGTGCTGCAAAAAGATTCTTGCTAAATATATTTGATTTAAATATTTTTATGAAGACTTTTAAGAATTGAGTCTGTATACATTGCACTACAGTAGAAAACTTTTGTTTACTTTTGTTTAAATTGACTAGTGTTCTACACTTCCTATTATTTCATAGGAAAATTGCTATGTGATTTTTCTTCTCAGAATAACAGAAAATGAAGTTAATGTGGTTTGAAATTGAGAATTCCAGTGAAGTGGAATGAGTATGGCAAACATGCCTAAATTTCACAAACAGAAGCTTGTCTACACAAAAGAAAAAAAATTAATTTGCCGCCGATTTATACCAAGTTTTATTGATGCAAAAATACAGATTTATAGAAACCACCTGTTCTCACTATAAATATAGTTCTATTCAGATGAACACTTGAACCTCACTTTTCACAAGCGAATATAACTATAAAGAGTAAAACCTTAAGACATCATGCAAATTTGGTGACACAAGTGTGACAGGTAGCCACATATTCATAGCTGACATTGAATTCCAGATAACAGAATGCACAGACATGGTAAGAAGGGCTTTTGGAACTGGACGGATGTCTGGAAGACTTGAGGGACCTGCAAAATCCAGTGTGTGTGTGTGTGTGTGTGTGTGTGTGTGTGTGTGTGTGTGTGTGTGCAAGGCACAGACATTGTAGCTTGACTAGCTGTAGATAAGTAGACAGTTGCACAGAGTTCTTAATCTATTCAATGGTAAAGTCACCTGATCAAAAATTTTATAAGCAGTAAAGCCTGTTTGTTTTTATACATAAAATCCAACTACATAATGTTACTCCAGGATAAAATTAAGCGCAAAATCCTTCCAGTATTAAAGCAAAATGATAACCGGTGAACTTCGTGAATAAATCATTATCTGTCGCGTCACTTGGGTTTGCCATGCAATCTGTGTTGTACATTCTTGTTTTCAGTGTGGAGCTCAAATGTGTCTCCTTGTAGGTGCACCAGATTTTCACACGTGGGCTTTATGTCTCCGTTAACTGATGCTAAAAGAACAGTTAAAAATTAAAAACAAAGATTCAGTTCAACGGATTATTATGAAATGTATAAACATCAAAACCACTTCATTTGGATTGAACCTTCCTGCCAGGGAACTAGAGAAAATGCTGACATATGTAGGTACATTACAATTTACAACATAGAAGAGAGGAGAGGTTAGGACCATGAACAGAATATATCACTAAATGATCCTAGGCAAGATGCCACTACAATCGTCTTTTTTTTTTTAAGCAGACAATAAATTGATAGTCATGACAGGAAGTTATGTGTCCAAGGTCATTTGTCTAATACGCCCTTTCTTCTCATTGTTTTGGTCATAATGATATATGGGACTACCAATTTTCCAATGTACCTGTTTTTTTTTACCTGCCTGCCAATTTTCTCATAACTGATGATATTGTCATAATGACTGTAAATGCTTTGCAATGCCCTGCTGTGATTCCTCAAACAACATCCAAGGAGATAGTTAGGACAAGTTTCCAGATCCATAAAGAAACATGACAAACAGAAAGAGGGTGGTGATGTTCATCACTTTAAAATTCAATTGTATTGCTTAGAATAGAAGTGTCTGAGGGTTAAACAGATTCCCTTTCCCGCAATACCCACTTTGCTAAAATTAGAGAGATCAACAGAATCACTTCTTGAATGCTACTGATTTCCAGGAATGTTACCAATTTTATGGAAACAAGCTAACTGTATGTCTAGGAAAAATTATTTCAGGGATAAACTGTTGTGGTTATCAAGATTCTATGGTTGTGGGACAGTCCTGTCTTAGAAAGGGTTTCCTATCAGCGACTTTGTGGATGTGAAGTCACTAATAGATTAGCAACTATTGAATGAGTAGATCCCCAGAAAGCATAATGACAGTAGAAGCCAGAAGAGGAAAGTGGCGGAAAGAGAATGGCAAATGCTTGCAATGCATACACCAGATTGACAGCTTAAAGGGAAGAGTGAGACTTGGAGAAGGGGCCTTTATGGTTCGACCACTTCTCTTTCACTAGACAGGGACTTTCGATTGTATTATTCCCATTCCTTCCTCTGAACATTATGGACTACTAACAGCCCTTTTTATAGGAGAAGTTCCTTGAAGCTGAGAAGTTCCCTTGCAATCAAAGTCCATAATCCAAACAGAATCAATTGATATTCTGTTCCAGAGTTTGACAGCTGAAATTCTTACTGAACTAAGTTAGGGGCCTATGGACAGACAGTTTCTCCAACTGGGAGCTGGTGAGAAATGGAAGCTTTCACATAACCCACAGAAACAATGAACGACTGCATTGTGGAGATCTGCAGTCATGTTTATCCACATCTCAACTTGAGAAGCAGCGAGCTGAAGTTCCCTCAGAGGACAGAAGTCCTAGAAGTAGCACTCCCAGGATAGAATCTGCCAAGAGGGAATGGGAGGGTCAGGAGTGAGGAACACAGTGAAGAATCCTATCAGCCTGTGGTCTTTTATTTAAGGTCAGTGCACCTGATTTTGACAGGGTATTACATTTCCCAGGCATTGCCATGCTGGAGCAAAGCTGCAAAGAAGAAGTAAGAAGAGGAGACAAAAGGGAAGGAGGAGGGAGAAGACTGGGTTGGGAATTGTGAATGACTCCATAAAGTATCTTCTCCATAGTTAGGTTGGGTTATGCGTGCACAGTACCTTAAAAGGAGGCTGGACCTCATACTTGGCAGATTTGAGATTCAGTCTTCAGAAGTGAAGTGTGAGATCTAGAAAAGCATAAATGGAAAAGCGTACGTTTTCCCCTTGGTCAACCATGATTGTAGACATTATGAAACAAGGTAATGTTTTTTAACAGATCAGGGGACCATTTCTGATAACAGGGATTAATTTCTTATAATGAAAATCAGAAGAGGTAATTTCTATCAATCTAAGAACAAGGCAAGTCCTTCAGAGGAGATGAGTCAAATTCATAATTAGTCAGTGAAAAAAAATTAACAGAGATTAGAGCAACACCAAAGAAATTTGCCTCTAAAAGCAAAGAGGTATGGTGAATGAAGCCACTAACACCTCTGCCAGAAAGTTCTTGCAGAGCAGGGTGAGGGCTTCTAAGAGGTGGAACGGATTTTGCAAGCAGAAGCCTGTGCCTGTGAGCCAGGAAGACTTGCAGTGGGTTGAACTGATGGGTTTCATACAGTTCATCAAAGGAAAATGATTATGAAGATGATTTAGAATGGCTTCGGCTATGGGCATACGTGGGCAGGGAACAAATGCAGAAGTAAAAAGATGATGTGGGTTGCAGTTGGAGAAGTGGTGTGGTGATGCAGTGTCCTCTGGTGGCAAGTACACTGCCTGAGGTTATTGAACAATACGTTTAAGTGATGGGATGGGGAAAAGTATTGTTTACTGGAGGACAAAGTTAAATAAGAAAGTTGAATGCAACAGCAAGCCCCGGGAGGCATGGATTAAAAGGGAACAAGAAACAATGACTCTGCTCCAGAAATGGGGAAGGAAATCTCCCCGGTGAGGAAGTAGGAAGAAAAGACAGAGCCAACAAACTATAGAACGTTGTATCATCACTGAGAAAAGTGGAAGGAATGCTGGCCAAACTCCACCTTCGTCTAAAGAGTCTGATACTATCATCAAGCTGGGTTAACATATGAAGGCTGATGCAAAAGTTTCCCTCAGCCACGCCTATACATGTAAGTGAGAACTTAAATAAGAACACGATAAAAAAAATTGAAACTCACTAGGCATGGTGGTGCACACCTACAATCCCAGCACATAGGAGGCAGAGGCAGGGACACATTTGAGTTCAAGAGGGGGGCTGACAATTTTTTCTGCACAATGAGGGTGAAAAATCCTAAGCACACATTTAAATGCTGAGTCACATGCTTGGACTTGTGTTTCTAATCTAAATGTCATATATTTTATGAAAGTCCCAATCTTTGACCAAATCTACCTTCCAGGATCTGGTCTCCATTTCTGGATGAATCAAGTACACTAGAATGCTCAAACTAATAAATAGGCTGTTTGTAAGGTCCCAAAGACCTTTCAAGAACAAAACAAAGGATGATGGAGAGATAATATCTAGAAAACCCTTACCAGACTTCTGGGTGTTCTGAAACGGGCACTAGATTTTGAGTCTAATCATATGGGTACCATCAATGTAGATTCAGCTATTTTTTTTTCTGAAACAGGGTTTCTCTGAGTAACAACCCTGGCTGTCCTTTAACTTACTTTATAGACTCGACTGACCTGAGTCAGTGATCTCTCACTAGCTCAGGTCAGCTGATCCTGTGGGTTTCCATCATGACCTTGACTCCTTTGTTCATATTTTTGCTTCTCCCTCACTTTAATTATAGTCCAGGACTTTGGCTTATTATTTAATTGTGGATTTCTGCATCTGCTTCCATCTGTTTCTGGAAGAGGGTTCAAGCTTCTCTGGGGGTTATGGAATGTAGGCTGCATATCTTTTACTTTATGTCTGGTATTCATTTATGAGTAAATATATTGTATATTTGTCTTTCTGATTTTGGGTTACCTCACTTAAGATGTTTTTTTTCCTAGTTTTGTCCATTTGCCTGTGAATTTTAGCATGTCATTGTTTCTTATCTCTGAGTAGTAGTCCATTGTGTAAATATACCACATTTTCTTTATCCATTCTTCAGTTGATTTCCACAGTGGCTGTACAAGTTTGCACTCCCACCAGCAATGAAGGAGTGCTCCCCTTTCCCCACATTCTCTCCAGCATAAACTGTGATTGGTGTTTTTGATTTTAGCCATTCTGATCAGTGTAAGATGGACTCTCAGAGTGGATTTGATTTGCATTTCCCTGATGACTAACGATGTTGAGCATTTCTTTAAGTGTCTTTCTGTCACTTGAGATTGTTCTGTTGAGAATTCTCTTTTTAGATCTGTACTCCATTTTTAATTGGGTTATTTGGCAGTTTGATTTCTAGTTTCTTGAGTTGTTTGTGTATTTGGAGACCAGCCCTCTGTCAGATGTTGGGTTGGTGAAGATCTTTTCCCAATCTATAGGGAGCCGTTTTGTCTTGTTGACTGTGTTCTTTGCTTTACAGAAGTTTCTCAGTTTCAGGAGGTCCCATTTATTAACTGTTGATCTCAGAGTTTGCGCTACTGGTATTTTATCTAGGAAGTGGTCTCCTGTGCCTATGTGTTCAAATGTATTTTCCATTTTCTCTTCTGTGAGGTTCAGTACCACTTGTTTTTTATTAATTTGCCTATTGTTAAGATCCTCTTTCGACTATGTGTAGCACTGTACACACACACACACACACACACACACACACACACACACACACACACACACAGGAACTTGGTGACTGATAGCACCTGAGGGGACAGAACAGGTTTGCCAGCAGCAGCCCAGAGACAGGAGTTTCAGGTACCTGTGAGCAGTAACTACTATGAAGCAAGCCCAGGTCCTCTGCAAGAGGACCCAGTGCCCTTAACCATTTACTGTGTCTCCAGCATCTGCTTTCTTATATTTCGTGTCTTGATTATTTCTTTGGATAACTGTGTGATCCTGACTAGCTATTTCCCAACGCTTTCGCTCCTTTATCTATAAAATGGGTATAAAACAAAACATTCCGGAGTTATTCGGAAATTAAACTTGCTAATGTGCTAAAGACCTTGAATTTGCTTGGTGTTTATAATAGGAGATACAAAAGGAACCGCTTTTCTTATTGGTATTACTTTTGTCATCAATATTGGTTTTCCATTCCTGCCTCCCAGAACACATGTTACTACTTATATCATTAGACTGTTTCTGGAGGACCTCCTATTGACCCTGCCCTGTGTTTGTATGTCCCTGAGTTGACTACTGATTTATTTACGAGGTACCTGAGACCTTGCTGTGGTGGGGCCAGGAGGATGTGTAACCTCTTTCCCCCAGAGGTGTGCTGGAATAGCTGTGGCCCCGGGAGATAGTGTCTTAGGATCAGTGTTTCATTTCATATGGGAAACAACTGCCTTAGTCAGACTAATTTAGCAGAATCCTTGATGAGCCTCCCTTATTCCCATTTGCCCTGAAGGCCAGCACTGCAGAGCACCTGCAGCAGCTTCCTCCAAGCTGTGTCCCTGCTTGGAGCTTCCTTTCCTTTGGAGACTAGGTGACCTGGAAGAAAGAAGCCCGTGTTTCTGCGGAGCAGCACAGGAAAGACCATATCAGGAAAGACCCTGTATAGCAGCTACGGAAACAATAAAAAAGTCCTCGATGTCTGAAGAGCAGGACCACCTGGGAAACACGGGAAAGTCCACTCAGTGAACCACACTGACAGTGCCTCACCTCAGAGGTGATCTGCTGACTTTGACTGGTGTATGGCAGCCGTAATTTACTCTTTCTCTGATACTACCCTTTCATCTCAATGAATATTGTAGTTCACAGTAATCACAATGCCTTTTCAGCAGCACCCCTTACTGCTCGGTAAAAATCCCAGTTAAATATAGGTTTTAGAATCCTAATTTTGGTTGGGCTTAAGTAGGGTGAAGCATGCTAACCACTTCCTTTCACGTCTCCTAAGGCGACAGCTGTTTGGAATCCTATGATCCAGCTGTTTGGTTGGCTATCGTTCACGTCTGATTTGTTTTTGAGCACGTTCGGGATGTTATCCTAAGTTAGGGAAGTTAAGTTATGGTTAGAAGGAGGGCAAATTTTCTATTTGTTGATTAACTTTAAGAAAGGAAAAATTAATCAAAAGTAATTTGATTTTGGCCATTTCTCATTGTATTTATTGCTAAGCCCAAACTCTGGACATTATTTTCAGTTAAGCATAACTTACTGCACAGCTTTCACGTTTTCTTCTGGAACAGGGTGAAGCTGGCCATCTAGGTCCCCTGTCCTATCAAATTAGGAGGTCCCCGCTTCACCGGGATTTCGGTGACCTTCTATGACAGACACTCCTTTGGAAGAAAGCTAGTTGGCACAATCAGGTATTTAGAGGTGAAACTTCATTAAAACGAATTAAAGTTGCAGATTGCAGCCTGTCTTCCACTTTTAAAAAACAAGAAAACAATAAATTGTGCCTAGAGAAAGGGAGGCACGTATCAAAGCATCTTGTTTCCCAAATTGCTATTCATTTAATACTCACATCTTAGCAAGAAATAAAGGCTAATGTTAACATACTCAGTACCATTACAGTCCCTGAAATACATGCTAAAGTGTGTCTTACTTGAGTTCAGTTATCAGAAATTTTCATTACTTAAGTGAAAATACATTCAAATATACTTAAATAAAATCAGAGTTACTCTTATCTGTAGAACTGTATTAAATAAGACACTTTAAGGGAATTTTTAAAAAGTAGTTTTCTGACCTAACCTGTTGAAAGTAAGGATGTTCTGGTGTCATTTGTGACTATTGCAAGCAATGCGTTGCAGAATCTTGGTAGCTAAAATTTGTAACAATAAAAACATTTGGAAAATATTATTTTTAAATCAATAAACGACATTAAATGAGTCACATTAATGATGTCAAATATGTATCTGTACCACTAAATGAGAAGCAGCAATTAGAAGATGTAGGGAAATAACCCCCACTGTGTGAAGGAGCAATTTGAGCAATTTAGTGCTCGGTTTGGAACTACAATGGCTGCCGGCCCTCGGTAACTAACCTAGAGACCTGCGGGTGCTGAGATGGAAAAGATGGAGTCTGATTTTCACTTCCTCGAATAAACAGAATGTCACCAGCACGTCACATTCCACCCTCAGCGGACCCCTGGCACGGCTAATGAGTATAATCTTCACATTC